GTACCGCACTTAACTTGTTTCTTAGCACAGCGGCCTTGTTTTACAATGTTTGTGTTTCAAAATTTTAATATTAAGTTGACAAAGGGATGCAAACACAATTAAAGTAGCATCCTTAACAGCCTACCAAGCTTTGGGGAGATAAAAACATATGATATAATTTTGCTTACCAATCTGTTGCCTTAGAGCTGAAATATATATAAAAAACTTTTTATTTAGTTTGTTATTTAATAAAAGTAAAAAGTGAAATCTGAATACAATATAACTTACTTAATACTTCATTAATATCTAAAAATATTGACATGCTAGTATAAAGATTTGAAAATGTTTGACCCAAGCAAAAAATAAAAAATAATAAAATAATTAGTTACCTGAAGAAACTAATGATGCCGATGCAACAGCTAAATAAAAAACGTAATAAAAAAAGGCAATTTAATTCTGATTATAATGTTCAAAAAAACAATATTCATTACTTGTCTTTTTTCAAGTAACAAATCAAAAAAAAAAACGTATCAAGTTACCAGAAGTGGCGGATGAAGCAGTTAAAACAACTAAATGAAAAATATATAAGTATTTAAAAAATATATATATATCTTGTAAACCCCTGGAGATAATGTTCCAATAAAGAATGTTTATTGCTAGTTTTTCAAGAAAAAAATCAAAATAAATGTATTGTTACTTGGGACGGTCAATGCTGCAGATGACACAACTAAATGAAATAAATAAATCAATAAAGATAATTTACATTTTTTATTGTTAAAAAATAAATGTATAAATTAACCTGGGGAGGTTGATGCTACAGAAGAAATAACTAAATAAAAAAAAATTAAATAAAAAAAGCTATTTTGGTAATGTTCAAATAAACAATAAATAGTAATTTTCAAAAAACAATAAATAATAAGTAATGTTCAAGTAAACAATAAATATTCAAATAAGTCTCTCTTCTTGTTTAATAAAATAAAAGACATCACTATTTGTAAAAGTTGCTGAAACAATACTTAAATAAAAAAAATCTATATTTGCCTAATATAAAACATATTCAATGATATAATGCTATTTCGATGGAAAAAGCTGAAAAAGAAGCTTACTGCTCCCAAATCTACAAAAATAACAAACTTACTGAAATCTATTTGTCTGTCTAAAAAATAAAAATCATGAAATAAAATCAAAACAAAAATAATCTTATATAAAAACGTATTTGTTGATTTAATAGCGTAATTGTTAAACAATAAATTAAAACAATAGCTATTAGAGAAAATGGTATTCCTACTTGAAACTAATCTGATAATTTAGTTAATAAATAATAAAACATACTTATTTCGCTGTCAGCTTGTCTGTCTAAAAAATTTTATTCTCATTAATCCTTCTCCAAACAAAAAATAAAATATAAATAATAAAATGAATTAAACTTACTAAATAGGTCTTTAAATGCTTCGAATGGTTTTGAAAAATAAAACAATAGTTGTTGTAAAAATAATCACTGTTATAAAAATATATAAAAATATAATGTACAAAAAAAACTACTTTACCAGTCATTTTTTATTTTTTAAAAACTTCGACTAAAAAAACAAATAAAAATAATCAAGAACAAACAAAACATTGATAAATAAATAAACAACATCAATTCTTCGCGAATAATAATAAAAATATATCAACTCTAATCGACAACTTAAATTTGCATGCAGATCTTGCTCAAAAGACCGCGTGGAATATAAAACCGCGTATAGAATAGCCTAGAAACTACTTTAAAATAGAAAAGCCTAGAAAATGACGTAACTCGACTAATATTAAACTAACGTATTTATATTATCAGAAGTACATCAATAGTTCTTACTGTTATATTATAAAACACTCAGGAAGTTACTTTAACTAAAAAGTTTGCCATAATTTCCATAGCAAATCTTGCAAGCATGCTTATATATTGAAAATTGTCTAAATTTGTACTTCTGTTTGAAGGTCACCATTTGTTATACTAAAATTTAATCAATTTTTTAACTTTTTTTTCAAATTTTATAAGTTCTATTTTCAACGTTTTACTTGCCTCCTTTATATATTGTATGGATTCTTGTTTTGATGATACCAAATAGCCGATTTTTACTTTTTTTCTAATACATTTGCTTTGTATTGTTTTGGTCTTTTTTGCAATTGATATTTTTTATTTGGCAATGTATTTACGTTTACTCTCGCATTATATTAAGTATACTCCGATATATTTGATGGTAGTTTTGTTTTGTTGCTCAAGGGTAGCAATGAATTGCGCTAGATTTATAAAATGTCTTGAAACCTGCTTTCTTAAAGATTTTTTAAGGTTTTCATAATCAAAAACAATTTATTTTATTTTTTTTAATTTTTTTTTTATTGTTTAATTTTGCCGTATTAAAATGAAAAAAATACTTTTTTTTTTAATGCTCAGAGTTTTATGCCTGAGAGCTTAACAACAATTATTCAAGTTTTTAAACTCATTCTAGTCAGGTTTATTAGCGCTCTTTTTAAAACTACAGTTTATGGGAGAAGCTTTTCGACTACCATGCAAGACTACTTTCTGATCAAAGATCTTACAATCGAGGTCACTTACTAAGAGTTAAAAACTAATCTGAAGTAAATACCAAAAATAGGATTGATAATACAAATAAAAATGATAATAATGATGATAAATTAAAAATTAAAAGAATAATAAAAATAAAGTCAATAAACTAATAATAATTTTAAAACAACAATTGATTATTTGAATATAATGAACAGACAGGAAAGTTACAAACTGTTTTGTACTGACAAAACGTAACAACCTACCATCTAACTTAAACATTTACTGCAAAAAAGTAACAATAATTTACTAAAAATAATAATATTAATATCAATAATCGTAATAAAAACAATAAAAGTAAAATAAATACTTCATTAAAAAATATAATGAATAAACAGAAACAAAAAATATTCAGTAATACTCACAAATAAAAAAGTGTCACACAAACAAACATTTAGTCACAAAAAGTATGGAGTTTTCATAATAAATAACAATATTAAAATAAAAAAGTAAAATATGTCAAGCAAACACATATTGTCACTCAAAAATAATAAAACTAAAAAAATATTATTTTTTCTTTCTTTACAAATAGAACAATCAGGCACGTTGGTAAGGGGTAGCCTAGAGTAGCAACTGCTACTCCTGCTCGTTAGGCTGTGATGGCAAGGTAGCATGAATGTGCCTGAAACACTTGTATAAAGAACAGCAATATTTTAATTCTTATAAGTTTTTCCACTCTAAAATAAACAAAGTCAATAATCAAAACACAACATTCTCTGCAGCCATAATATAAACAGAATATACTATAATATAAACAAGGTTTTTTATGTATCTTCTTCTATAGGTCGTAATGGTCAACAAATTACTCTTGAGGATCCACATGTGTCTTTTCCAGGTGTTATTAATAACAATGGATTGATTGGACAAGAATCATTGACAAGATTTTCAGCTAGTGGAGGTTGATAAAGGGGAGGCTGATTAGGAAAGTTTTCAGGATTGGTATTGGTAAGTCCATATTTCTCAGGTGTTAATGATTTATAGGGGTAAGAAGGTTTATTAAAAGCGTTCTCTGGTGAAGGTTCAATATTATTAAAGGCGTTCTCTGGTGAAGGTTCAATATGGTTTGTTTGATCAATGATCGGAGCAGAATTTGTTGGAGCTAAGTGTCTTAGGGAAACTGTGGTTTCTCTTCCATCTGGATACTTTATGTGAGCATATTGAGGATTAGCATCTATGAGTTGCACTTCGTCTACCAGTGGTTCATACTTATTATTACGTAAATGTCTTTTCATTAGTATTGGTCCAGGATGACTTAACCATGAAGGTAAAGTGCATCCAGAGGCTGTTTTACGAAGGTGCTTAAACATTCTTTCATGAGGTGTCTCCATTGTTTTAGTATTTACTAAGGATCTTATAGAATGGAGAACGTCTGGCAATACTTTTTCCCAAGCTTTGATGGGTAAATTGTGTTGTCTAGTAGCAATCTCAATAGACTTCATTATGGTTCCATTATACTTTTCGGCTTGTCCATTCCCTTGTGGATTATATGCTGTAGTATGACTTGTCGCAATACCTTTCTCTAGTAAGTATTGTTTTAATTCTTTACTGATGAAGGCTGAACCTTTATCGGAATGGATGTAACTTGGCAAACCAAAAATTGAGAATACTTGTGACAAACACTTAATTACAGTCTGAGCTGAAATATCAGGGCACGGGATTGCAAAAGGAAAACGGGAATACTTATCAATTATGGTTAAAAAATACTTGTTTCCGAAGTTTCCGAAGGAAGAGGTCCTTTAAAATCTAAGTTCAAACGTTCCAGTGGTTGTGTCGCCTTTATCAAATTAGATTTTAGTGGTTTGTAGTATCTAGGCTTACATTCACAACATAGTTTGCACTGATTAGTTATTCGTTTAACATCATCAATTGAGAAAGGTAAATTACGGTTTTTAATAAAAGCATAAAACCTAGTTACTCCAGGATGACAGAGTGATTGATGGAGCTGAATTAAGTTGTTAGTGTTTATTGCTGAGCAATGTATTCTAGAAAATGTGTCAGCTGGAATATTTAGTTTCCCTTCCCTGCAAACAATGTCATAATTATAGCACGATAGTTCAATTTTCCATCGATAAATTTTATCATTTTTAATCTTTGATTTTTGTTGCTTTTCGAAGATATAGGATACAGGTTGCTGATCGGTAATAAGTTTAAAATGGCGTCCAGTAAGGTAGTGTTTCCAATGCCTGACTGCTTCTATTATTGCGCAAGCTTCTTTCTCAATAGAGGGATGTTTGAGTTCAGATTTTTGAAGTAATCTTGAAAACAAAGCTACAGGGCGGCCGTTTTGATTAAGAACTGCAGCTATAGCAATGTCAGATGCGTCCGTTTCTACTTCAAATGGAACATTTTCGTCCACATTATCTGTCACAGCATTTGCAATGTCTTGTTTAAGTTGATTAAAATCGTTTACACACTGATGATCTAATGGGTACTTGGTGTTTTTGGTAAGAGAAGCTATCTTATCGGAAAAGTTTGGAATCCATTTAGAGTAGTAGGAGAATAGTCCAATGATACTCTTCATGGATTTAGCATCATGAGGAGGAGGCATTTCTTTCATAGGTTGAAGACGACTGAGATCTGGTTTGAGCTTTCCTTCTTCTATAAGATAACCAAGAATGCTAATTTTATCTTGGGAAAAGCTACATTTATCATGATTATAAGTAAGATTTATATTTTTAACTGACTCGAGAAATTTTTCCAGATTAAGATCATGCTCCTCTTGGGTTTTACCACATATTGTCACATTATCTAGATAAGCATAAGTATCTAAAAGTCCTTCTTTTTCTATAAATTCGTTTATGGTACGTTGAAAACAAGCAACCCCATTTTCAATTCCAAAAGGCATTCGCTTAAATTGGAACAACCTCCCATTTGCTTCAAAAGCTGTAAATTTTCTATCATTTTTGGTAATTGGATTTTGATGGTAGGCTGATTTTAAATCAACTTTACTAAATATTTTGTATTCAGCAATTTTGTTTACTAGATCATCAATCCTTGGTAATGGGTACGCGTTTAGTTGAGTATACTTATTTATTGTTTGACTGTAGTCAATAACTAATCTTTTCTTAGAGCGTTCTCCTTTAGTTACAACTACCTGAGCTCTCCAGGGAGAATTTGAATGTTCGATAATGTCCTCTTTAAGCATACGTTGTACTTCCATTTCAATGAATAATTGGTCTTCTTTGCTATATCGACGGGATTTTGAAGCTATTGGTTTACATTTAGGCGATAAATTGCCAAATAAACTAGGGGGAGATACATTCAACTTCGACAAACCACAAATTAATAGTGGGGGTCTTTTTCCTTCAAACTTAAGGATTACAGCTTTGTGTTGTTTTTGAAAATCGAGACCCAGAATAACATCCATGCATAACTCATTTAAGGTGTTAAGTTTTACTAGTTTATAATGCTCATTTTTTATTGAAATATTGACAAAAACTACTCCACAAACTGTACTAGATAAAGATGATGAAGCCATAGATACCTGTTTTTGGTTTTGTCTATGAACTGTTAGGTTTAGTTTTTGTACCAATCAAGGGTGAATAAAACTATCAGTGCTACCACTGTCAATGAGAGCATTTACGAATGAACCATTAACTAACATGCCAATTGTTGATTTAGTCAAAGGTGAAATGGAAGCAGAAATGTTCTTTAAATTAGTTTTATGTTCAGGGTAGTCTAGTCATGTGAGTGAAGGATTGTATGAGTTTAAAGGTTGATCAACAAGATTTATCCCAGCTGTTGTACGTTTAAAAGATTTACATAACTTGGCAAAATGACCAACTTTTTCACATTTAAAACAAATCCACTCTCTAGCAGGACAGACAGCTTTAGCATGTCTTTGATTCCCACAGTTCCAGCAGTTTGAAGCTATTGCAGCTACTGTTGTATTTGATGTATTATACTGGAGGTAATTTTCAGCATTTTTCTGCGCTGATTTCAAGGTTCTAGCTTTTGAAAATATTTCATCCAGACTTATTGTACTGTTTTCTAGTAGTCGCTGTCTGACAATCTGTGAATTTATCCCTGTTATAAATGCATCTCTAATATATTCATCGCGATATTCAATAGCAGACACCTGTTTAAAGTTACATTCTTTTGCTAAAACTTTAAGAGCGTGTAAATACTCATCAAAACTTTCTCCTGGCTGTTGCTTGCGAGTTGCCAAGAGGTGTCGTGCATAAACCTCATTTGATGGTTTGATTTACACAGATTGTAAAGCTTGTATTGCTGCTTCATAATTTGGACATTCGCTTATTATTTCATAAACATCAAACACAACGAAATTAGTCAGGATTTTTAACTTATTGAGTTCTTGAGGGAGTTCATCAAGATAATATTCAAATGTTCTGAGCCAATGTTTAAATAATTTTGTTGCCGAAGGTGTGTTTGGTAATGTATCCAAGCGAGAAGGTCTTAGAGCTCTATCCATATTTTATTTTGATAAGAGTAGAAAATTGAAACACTTGTATAAAGAACAACAATATTTTAATTCTTATAAGTTTTTCCACTCTAAAATAAACAAAGTAAATAATCAAAACACAACAGTGCCCTTTTTAGGAAACAGGTATGGTAAATTTTTGTGCATTAAAAGCATTTCCTTATCCAACATTTAAAATTTCATTATCAATATCTACCAACTGAAACTGGTAATTAGTGGGATAGGTTGTAATAGATTAATTTTTTTTCAAATAATATTTAAAAAAAAAACAGTTAGAAATTAATTTAAATGAAACTTAAAAAAAAAATTTATTGATTAGGAAAAAAAGGCCATGAATCAATAAGCAGCAGTGACGTAACTCATAAATAATAAATAAACCGACTTATTAAAAAAAATTACTACTTTGTTGAAAAAAACAACAACTCAACTGGTAGGGCAAGAGAATCCTTACAATGAACTGTAGAATCAAGATAAGTGTGACATAGGCAGTCAAATGCAGCCGTGGCGCAGTGGTTAGAGCGCCAGCTTAATAAGCAGGAGATCCAGGTCCGAAACAAGCTTTGGTTAAATGCACTTCCGCGGTGCTCTGTGACAAGGCCGTTAAGTCTTCTTGGGGCACCTAAAAATAATAACACAAAAAAATATATATAATAAAATAAAATAGACAATACAGAAAAAACAGGAGTTCGATATTGGTGAAATTCTAACAGAAAATCTTCTTAGAAAAGCTAAAATAGATCCATCACTGAAAGCTGTCTTTGTGAAACCTGTACAAAAATGATTAATGTTCTGTTGGAGTGCTCAAGAATGGAGTCGGGAAAGGATTTAGAGCATGGAGCAAATCTGCAGCAGCGCTAAAAGATTACGAGGACTTCAGTGTTCATAATTGTTTCTCGATCTTTAGAGCACTTGCATGTTGCAAGTGCTCTAAAGATCGAGAAAGAAAATATAAATGTTTGCAACACTTAATGCTCAAATTGACCAAATGTACATTTAAGCAATTCGAAAAAAAAACTTGCTAACTTATTTCGGAACATTGAAAACATTGCTTCATCAGGGTGTAGCTATAAGAGGTAATAATGATAAAGAATCTAATATTTACGAGTTTAATTAGGATAAGAGTAAAAGTGACAAAGCATTAGAGATGTTGAATGAAAACCATTATGTTTTATCTCATGACATCTTGCAAGAGTAAGAATAACTTCTCACCTTAGAAGCACGAAGGCAGATTGTTGAACTGATCAAAGATAAAAATTTTTACTCAGTACTTGCAGATGAATCCTCAAATATTACTATGAAGGAACAAATTTCGTTTAATGTCAGAACTTGCAGTGACAACTATGAAGTGAATAAAGATTTTATAGGAGAATATAAATGCGTCAACGGTCTTTCAACAGATGTCTTAATGACATATATTGAAGATATCCTTTTGAGGTACAACTTGGAATATACAAAATAGCCAAAACCCAACTAACCCCAATTTTGTGAAGCACCAATATTTTTTTGATAAAATGATATAAAAAGTGTAAATCTACTGAACAAACAAAAATAAAAATAACTACATAAACTAAATAGCGGTATTGGCTTTGATAGAGCCTCATTTATGAAATGCTTGGCAGCAAAACTGTAAAATATTTTTGGACAGCAAGCACAATATTTACATTGTATGGCACATTGCAGCGAGCTGGTTAATAAGGATACATACGTAATATCATCACTACACAGCAAAATCCACGATTCTTATTTTAAGCAAAAAAGTCTTGGAACAAGAAAAAAAAGACTTGTCCGCCACTTATGAATATTTTTTCTTGTTTCAAGAATAGTTTTTCTTGTTTCATGAATTTTTTTTCTTGTTTTAAGAATTTTTTTGCTTGTTTCAAGAATTTTCATAAAACAAGAATTTTTAATCATGAAACAAGATTTTTTTTTTTTTTTTTTTTTTTTTTTTTTTTTTGTTTCAAGAGTTTTAAATCTATTTTGAAAAAAGAATCTTGAAACAAGAATATTTTTTTTTGTTTCAAAAATTTATAATCTTAAAATAAGAATATTTTTGCTCAAACAAATTTTTTTTTTTCTTGTTTTAAGATATTTTAGATTAATAAAGATTTTCTTTTTCATTTTAAGTTTTTTTTTGCCTAATTTTATATTTTTTTGTTTCAATAATATTTTCCTTGAACTGTAAAACATTATTACAAAAGTATTTTTTTTATTGAAAAAATGAAACAATTCGAAATTAGGATGATATAAAATAAGAAAAATCAAAACCTATTCATATATTTAAACAACTCTCATCGTTGAAATAAAACTTGTTGTTCTTTGGAATGTCCAGTTATTGGTAATGTTTGAAGCTGCAATACTCCACCCATAGACTACTTATCTGACCCAAACAAGTTTCTGTTGAACTTTTATCTTTAAATAAAATATAAGATATATGTAAAATATAATTTAATTTGTGTAATAGTCGTCATGACATGGGCGTCATAATCAAAGGATCTAAAATCGAGAAAAAACGAAGTCGATAGGAATCGAAAAAAAACACTGACAAAGTCGAGAAAAAATCGCCAAAGTCGAGAAAAAATCGTTTCAAAAATTTTTTAATATAAATAAAAAAATTAAAGTATCTATTTGGTAATTGAACATAGTTCTTGTATTTTTTTATTTTTATTTTATAAAATATTTCACAGCAAAATCCAAAATTCTTGTTTTAAGCAAAAAAAAGTCTTAAAAAAAGAAAAAAGTTACTTGTCCGCAACGTAAGAATATTTTTTCTTGTTTCAAGAATTTTTAATCTTAAAATATGAATTTTTTTCTTGTTTTAAAAACTTTTTTACTTTAATTTTTTTTTTTTTTTTCATGTTTCAAGAATTTTCATTCTTTAAACAAGAACTTTTTCTTGTTTCAAGAACTTTTTTCTTCTTTCAAGAATTTTTATTCTTTAAACAAAAATTTTTATTCTTTAAACAAGAACTTTTATTCTTTAAACAAGAATTTTTATTCTTTAAACAAAAATTTTCATTATTTAAACAAGAATTTTTATTCTTTAAACAAGAACTTTTATTCTTTAAACAAGAACTTTTATTCTTTAAACAAGAATTTTTATTCTTAAAACAAGAATATTTTTCTTGTTTCAAGAATTTTTATTCTTAAAACAAGAATTTTTTTTTGTTTCAAGAATTTTTATTCCTAATATCAGAATTTTTTTTCTTGCTTTAAGAATTTTTATTCTTAATATGAGAACTTTTTTTCTTGTTTTAAGAATTATTAATCTTAATACTTTTTTTACTTAAGACTTTTTTTTTTTCTGGTTTCAAAATATTATATTTATAAATTTAGATTTTTTTTTTTTTTTTTCAAGAACTTTTATTCTTAAAAATATGTATTTTTTCCTTGTTTCAAGAATTTATAATCCTTAAAAAAAATCATTTTTTACTTGTTTCAAAGTTATTTTTATTTAAAATAAGATTCTATTTTTTTTTCTCAATATTATTGCTCCTGAATTATAAAACAACTAGCTGGATTGACCCGTAAAAATACGGGTCTTTGTAATTCTATTCCACACAAACCTTTTCCCTTATTTTCTTAATCTAGCTGTCCGTATCGGTAAATAGAGGTCTTTTCTTCTACTTCTATATTTATTTATTCCACGCCAATCATTTCTTTACTTGTTCCTTATTTACTTCAATATTTTTTAGTAAACGGTGGAAAAAATTCATCAAAAAAATTTGCTTTGAGAGCAAAAAAAAACTTTAACATACGCACTTTTTCCGCATACGTATATAGCTTATTAAACCCCGTTTATTTATTTTTTTTTTTTTAAATTCTGAACTAAACTACTTCCTACATTTAGACCAGCCATGGACCATGGTTTATGGTCGCGTCCTAGCCATTTTCAATAGTTACTATTTACTATATTTATTATTATTATTATATGCTTAGTTTTGAATAACAACGGTCTTTTATAGTTACCTTTGTATTAGGCGGAAACGGTAATGCAATTATTTAAAACGTTAGTCGCTTAAAGCGTCAAAAGTCATGCAAAAAAATAAATTATAAATTTTGTGGTTTAAAAGTTGAAAAACTAATAATAATATAACAAAAAGTTTGGTAATTTTTAAACGTTATTATTTAGCTCTTACTTATGGTATTTATTTTGTTTTCATTTTACATTTTTAAAAAAATGTTGAAGCGCCTAACTACATGCATAACTTTGATAGCTCACAAGTTAAGTGCGCTGTCATCAGATTCGCTGTGCAAGGCTTCAAATCCGCGCCTAAAAAATCTCAATACATTTTTTTTAATCTGGCTATATTTATAGCAAAAAATTAAATATAACAAAAAACCTTTTAATTTTTTTTTTTTTCCCTGCCTCCACTGCAATACCATGTGGAGTAGCAGGACGGTTTTATCAAGTTTTTTCTTTATTAGGTTTTAGGACCTTTTTTTTTAAGACTATCCGTAGCTTATTAGGACCAATTATGTGAGAACAGTATCAAAATCGTGACACACACGCAACAAATTTTCGCCCCGTTTATTGGTGTTTTTAGAAATCCAAAAAATATATAAAATATAAAAAGAAAAAACGGTTAAAGTGTATAACATTTAACTTATTTAACTTCACAAATATTTTGTAATTTAAAGAAAAAAATCGCTGGTGGTAAATTTGAACCACGACTATTACGTTCAGAAGCTTAGCGCGCTAACCACTCGGCCTCGCTGACACATCAAATATCGAAATTTTAAAAATATATAAAAATTGTTTTTAACGGAATTGCTGTAGATCAAAAATTAAGGAGAGGTTGACGCAATGCAATTTTTAAGTCAAAGTCAAACTATAAAACTTGAAAATGGTTTCAGTATGTTTTATCATTACTTAATTACGTACGTTAGATATTTGCATACACGTTTTCTTCTAAAAAAAGTGCTGCGACTCTTTCTACTAACACTACTATTAAGTTCGGCATTATTATATAGAAGATAAATAGATTATAAAATAGTTTTTCACTTAAAAAGACAAACTCTATTCCACATTAACCTTATCTCTATTTCTCCCTCAAATATTATTTAGTGAACAATAGATTATGTGCTAGAAAAAAAAAATTCACATATGCACCTTTTCCGTATATTTATATTTAGAGCTTAACATGAAGAAGGTAAATCATTTAGTTCAAGACAACCTGCCCAAACCCAAATCCTCTGTTGATTTATGCACACTCACTGTGGCTAGGCCTGTAAAATAAGTAGCTAGGCAAGTCATATAAATTAATTTGATCTGTTTTTCTGCATAAAACAAAAACAGAAAATGTGAAGTACTTGATAAAAGGAACTGTAATATTGGATTTAGTTAATTCAATACAAAGTGATAGGAAACTGCAAAATAAGGTAAAAACGTGAAAATTATTCAAATACTAATTTACAACAATTTGTATTGCGTTTTATTAAAATAGCTTTATTAAATGGTATGAAGATTGATGATTCTTCTTCTTCGCCTTTAGAAAATGGTTAACGATTTGAAAGACTTTTAAATTGATTATAAAAGCATTATCTAAAAATGAAATAAAATCATTATTGATAACACTGAATGCACATTTATTTGTTTTATGTTAATTCATTTGAGAAATGAAAAATACGAAACAAAATTTAGTAAAAATTAGTTCGGCAATATTATATAGAAGATTAGACACTTACTTTGTAAGAGTGCTTTTTTAAAAGTCTCTAATATTTGGTTGGAAGGCTGGAATAACTCTTTTTTAAAAAAAATTCAGTTTTATCAGCATTGCTAAAGATAAAAATTCTTACTGACACAAAAAAATTAGGCATTTTTTCTTAAAATATTTCTTGGATTTTAGTGAATGATTAGGAGTAAGTTTCAGTAATGAAGCTACCCAATAATCATTTTTAACGATAGACACCAACGTGAAGGTAAGCCAAGCTGTCTATCAACACAAAACATCACAACAACATTACAGGATGACAAACAATAACACCAGTAGTGTAGGCAGGATTTTTGTTGTTTCAGATATATATTTAGAAGCTGTTGAAGAGTTTAACTTTGTTATGTCTAAAAAAATTCAGGTTAGGAAAAACACTTTTTTTAAACATTTGTTCCTAAGCTTTAAAAACATCAATTTTTTGCAAAGTATTTTAATTCTATAAACGTAAATACACTTAAGTTTGGTTGAAAATGCTATCTGAAGCATCAAAAGACCCTGCCTATGCTACTGAATACACATAGCATCAAATATTTGTACATAACACATTTGCACATAACACAAAATATTCAGATTATGTGTTTCCAGAATAATTAAAAAAGCTAGACAACACAACCTAGCTCAACACTTGTAACACCGCTTGGCACTAAACGCTGCCAAGTAACACCACAATTTAGTAACACCGCTTGGCATTAAGTGCCAAGTAACACCACTAATTAGTAACACCGCTTGGCTAGCAAGAATCACAATCTTGCACTACACGTTGCCAAGTAACACCACTTTTCACATGGAAACAACTTAATATAAACTTGTATAAACTTAAGCACATAAATATAAATAAAGATATATAAACGCATATAAACACATTCATTTATATACACATATAACAAAAAAAAAAAAAAAAAAACATACAAAAAATATAAAACACATATAACACATAATATACTTGTCAAAATTATAAATTAAGAACATTTGTAAAGACAACATTATTTGTGTAATGTTTGTTAAATGACGTACCTTGTAATGGATGTTTATCAACTTTGAAAAACAAACTATTAAATGATTTTGTTCTTGAACATGCAACATATAATTGGCCGGGTGAAAAGCAAGGTTTTTTGAGATAAACACCAACTTTTTCAAATGTTTGACCTTGACTTTTATTTATGGTCATTGAGTATGCTAACCTAACTGGAAAATGCACCAATTTTTAATTTTAGGCAATGAACAGGCATACCTGATGGAGTCAAACTATTTAAAAACTCGACTGGAAAGTTATTAATTTCATTAAGATCATCAGTATCAATGCTATCTGAACTTAAATATGTTTTCACATCACCGGGTAAGCGATGAAGGACTTCTTCATTTATTGCCAATGAATCAACATTTGTTGGCGTTAAAATAGCACGTTTTGCATAATCAGCTTCTTCTGCACCACCGAAAATCTTCTCCACAATAGATTCATTATCACTGAGAAAGCACTGCTCAGGTATTTCAATACACCCTCGCAAAGGATCTTCAGGCTTGACAGGTAATGTTCCACTTCCAAGCTTTAAAAGCCATTGAAAAAATTCCTCTTCTTCTATCTGAACCCTCATGTTTACAGTTAATGAGAACCTTTGCACATATTGCCAATGTTCAGAACATTTTAAACATGATTCTATAACTTCTGCTGGTCGACCTCGCTTCACAACTGGAAGTATTTGTCTGAAGTCTCCACCCATAAAAATAACCTTACCACCAAAAGGAAAGTTGTTATTACAAATATCTTGTAATAGCTTATCAATGGCACTCAAAGCATATTTGGGTATCATAGATGCTTCATCAAGTAAATACAAACTGATTTGTCTCAGGAATCTACCATGAATAGAGTTTGGAGTTACATTACATGTGCTAGTTTCCAAAATTGGAACAGGAAGTTTGAATAAGCCATGCATTGTGCACCCATTTTTGAGAAGAGTTGCAGCTATTCCTGTCCATGCAGCTGTTGCAGTTCTAATATGCCTGCTCTGTGTTTCAGAAATTAAATAGTTGTAAGTAAATGTTTTACCACAACCGGCAGGCCCATCCATAAAAAACAACCTTGAATGCTTATTTTCATTAGTAGGTTCCACACTTAGTGCAGCAAGGATCGCATCAGCTACATTACGTTGATTATCATTCAATAATGGTCTAACTCGGTTTGCTTCATCAATAAACACCTGAACATCTTCATCATCATTTTCTGGGACATTATCTAAAAACTGATCTAAAGCTGGCAAATTATAATCAGCTAAGGTTTTACCACTCTGATTAATTATAGATTCAATTTGACGAAGAGCTGCCTGCTCAGCAAGTACGACTGGCATTGAATGGTGTATGTAATCCTCAACCATATAATTTTTAAATGTATTCCAAAGGTGTAAAGGATCATCAGGTTCACATAAAGTTAATATGATGCAAAACAGTAGCCTAATTTGTTTAGGCATCCGAGTTGCAGCAGCTTCAATTAATGTATTTTTCCACTCAATGTCATCTTGCAATAAACCTAAATGATAACATGCTTCACGAAATGTATTAAAAACAGTACCATGAACAGTACGCAAATCCTCGAAAGACTTTGCACCTTTTACATGCAAAAGTAACAACCTGAGAAAAAATAGTTCGCAAAATGAACTGACTTTATACATTCGAACAACCACCTTATCACTACCTCTTTGTCTTACTTTCCACATGCAATTTTTACCAAAAACAAAGTGATATGGAATTTCAACATAAGAATACTGACGTGCTTCATTATTTTCAGCATTTAACTTAAACCAAGCGGTTAGATGAGTGTCACGCTGTGCTGCACGATCTATAGCTACTTGTTCTTCTCCTTCGTTAAAATATACTCTCTGATTATCAGGAAGGTGGATTTGAAGGCGGATAATAGTATGTGACATATCACTTATGGAATACTCATATATTCGCCAAAGAGCCTCTGGGGCGGAAACAAAGCGACAGTCTAAATATGTGTTAATTTCATCATGGTCAACACTTTCATTAATTACCACATTCGCACAATCATGCCCCTTATAGACATATTTGTATAAATACTTCACTGACTTAATAGACATGCAAGCTTCAACATTAATGTGGGCTTGGTATTTTTTTGATAACCAGGGGTTATAGGGTACGACCCATCGATTATCAACCTGGTTACCTTTTATAATGACTACTCTACCATTATCTAAACGCCTGTAGTTAGGATATCCATTGAAAATTGCAACAGTGCAAGGATTAAACTCTTTAGGAAATTTTTTTGTGCAAACTCCATCTTTCATGCAAGGAGAATTGGGATTTAAAATCCCACATGGTCCATGAATCATACATGTTTTTACAATTTCAAAAAGTTCAGGATCAACAGTTTGATCTGGAATTTCAGCTGATATTAAACTATCAATATCCTCTGCTGTTTCTAGCTTATCATCGTTTACAAAGTGTAATAAAATATGCACATGTGGCAAACCACGTTTTTGAAACTCAATAACCTGTACATGACTTACAACTTTGCCTAAGACTCCATGTTTAAAAATATCACCTAAGAAGCATTTAAGTTTCATCTTAAATACGCGACAAACTAAATCAGGCCTGTCAGTTGCGCTCTCACCTGGATTTAAATTTTCTGTAATTTCTCTCCATTTTGAATTACAGGTAAAAGTAATAAAAAGATCTGGTTTACCATATTTCTTTATAATTGCCATTGCATCTTCAAAATTTTCTTTTAAAGCTCTTGGACTTCCAACATATGAGGATGGTAGTATAACAACACGACCCGGTCTTACATTAAGGTTATTTGCAACATTATTTACATACTCATGTAATGTATCGTATTGTTCGCTTCTAAGTTTGTTTTGGTTATTTCTGATAAAAGCAAGGCGCTGTCCTTCAATCTTGACATATGCATCAACAGCATACTGTTGAAAAAGTTTCTTACCATAAAATATAGGACTGAACGTTTGTCTAATAGAAAGCCTATAGTTGTAGTACTGAGATAAAGTAACACGATTTCGAACACGTGTTGCTCGGTCAGGATTGTGCTCTAGTTGATCATGCCATCCTGCATCACCTCTTGGAAAAAATATTGGATATATCATTGGATCTAGATTTGCAGACATACTTGAAATTGTTTTTAAGGGTTGACCTCGAGGATAAATAACAACTTCTCTAGATGGAGGTGGAGCACCATCATTTCCTACAAACACAACGGCAACCTCTTCATGTGATGGAAGATTGTATCGACGTCTATCACAACCCTCAAGCAACAACATTTTGACAACAGAAATCGGTCGACCTTCTATAGCAGCTTGACGAATTTCTGCATCTTCAACTTCTGCCATGTTTTTAAATGCAAGCGCATATGGGTTCTCCTGATTAATTATAGTCTGCAAAAGTTCCATTAACTCACGTATGCAACAATCATTTTGCTCCATTCGAAAGTTTAAAGCAGTATTAGGATCATAAACATATAATTGACAAAAAGCAGGTGGATCCCCTTGCTGATGTCTTAGATTACCAATACGATGCATAATTTGCCCACTAATTCTAAAACAGGGTGGACCACGATTTGACGGAGGATCTATTGTGGCTATGAATGAAGCAAAAGATAGACAGGCTTTATAATTTCGTATATGCTTGAAAAAATTTTGATTCAAAACACGATCAACATGGTTGCCTGTCATTAAATCAACCATCAGCGGTGGATAAGGTGAAAGTGGAGGTAAGACAACCTTTCCCGAATGGCAGCACAAAAAATGTGTTTCATTTAAAAGTTTTTTAGCACCACAATACTGACAATTATGGTTCATTTCTCCTAGGTAATTACTCTCTATAAAAACATTATTTCTTGCTATGCAATGCATTTCACGCCTAAATAATACTCGTCGAGCCTCATTTCTTTCATTTTGGCGACGATTAACTTCTTCACGTCTAGCCTCATTCCTTTCATTTTGGCGACGATTAACTTCTTCACGTCTAGCCTCATTCCTTTCATTTTGGCGACGATTAATTTCTTCTCGCCTAGCCTCATTTCTTTCATTTTGGCGACGATTAATTGCTTCTCGTCTGGCCTCATTTCTCTCATTTTGGCAACGATTAATTTCTTCTTGTCTGGCCTCATTTCTTTCATTTCGACGATTTCTTCTATTTTCAGCTCTTAAGTTACTTGACATAATTGAGAAATTATTTATGTTTGATAAAACTTTATCTTAATAAATTTTTGCTATACTAATCTAAAATGATCAAAAACAATAAAGTGCTATTTATCAGTTTAAACCTATGAAACTATGTGTATAGCGTCTAATAAAATTTGTGAACAAATGATATAACTAAACTGGTTTGAAACAGAGAAAAAGCCAGAAGTATCTTGTAATAACATACTATATTGTAAGTAATAAAACAGTATTTTTTGAAACAAATAAAAAATTTTATTATTTTAAAAGTCATATTAATGGTAATATTAAAAAGCAAAATTAGCTACAAATTTTTAAATGACATGCCAACAATTGCAAACATGTTGCATAATATAGACCACATGTGGCTGACAACTGATTTTAAATACTATTTTATTATATATCTAAAGAGAATAATGTAAAGAGATTAATATGTGTATAGTGCATATATTAGACATATTAAACAGATATCATACAAAAAGAAAAACTTTAAATATATTTACCCAATCTTTCAAAAACTATATAACACTTAACAAATAAAAGTTAATACAAAAGAAAATTTAGTATTATTAAAATTAAAAAGGAGAATAAAAAGATGTAAAAACGTAAATTAATAAAAAAACTTATAGACAAATTATTAAAAACTTTTATAACATAAGAGTTCTTTGTAAGTTTAGGATTTAAAAACAGAATTAAAAATCAAAAAAATAAAATAGTTAAAGTATATAAATTAAAATAATAAAAAAATGCGAAATTAAAAAAAACATTCTTTTAAAAAGTCAATTTTCTTTATAAATAAAAAAGAAGATAATTCTACCAGTAGTTTAAAAAAGCTACTGGTACAAATTAAAAGAGTTAAACCGCTTTCCAGCACCCCTCCTTCTACCAGTGGTGTCATATGGGGCTTCTCTCCTCCATCTAAAGGAGGGATCATCTCCCCCATATTGACTCCAAAAAGCTCTTGAAGATATTGGACCTGGGTGCTGGGAGCGATATTGCAGGAAATCTTGATATGATGCTAAAAAACAAAAACAAAAAAAGAAATAAATTTGAATACAATACTGCACAAAACAACCAATAAAAATATTATCTAAAACTATTTAGACTTCAAAAAAAAAAAAGTTATGACAAAAAAAATAAATAAATAAAGTAATGTAAAAATATAGATATGCAATGTTTAAATTTCATATATACCTACACAAATACACATAACACCCACAAAACTGCATAAGTATGCAAAACAGATTACCTGATGGTCCTGCAGATATTGTTGCTATTATGGAAATAAATAAAAAAGTATATTAACTAACACATATATTAAACAGTTATGTAATTGCATACAAACATGAAAAAAGTAATGTTTAGGTTTCAATACACATAACACTGCATAAATACGGAAAAACTGCATAAGTATGGAAAACACATTACCTGGTGGTACTGCAGTTGATACTGTTGCTATTGCAGAAATAAATAAAAAAGTATATAAACAAACACATATATTAAACAGTTATGTAATTGCATACAAACATGAAAAAAGAAATGTTTAGGTTTCAATACACATAACACTGCATAAATACGGAAAAACTGCATAAGTATGGAAAACACATTACCTGGTGGTACTGCAGTTGATACTGTTGCTATTGCAGAAATAAATGAAAAAGTATATAAACAAACACATATATTAAACAGTTATGTAATTGCATACAAACACGAAAAAAGTAATGTTTAAGTTTCAATACACATAACACTGCATAAATACAGAAAAACTGCATAAGTATGGAAAACACATTACCTGGTGGTACTGCAGTTGATACTGTTGCTATTGCAGAAATAAATAAAAAAGTATATAAACAAACACATATATTAAACAGTTATGTAATTGCATACAAACACGAAAAAAGTAATGTTTAAGTTCCAATACACATAACACTCATAAAACTGCATAAGCATGCAAAACACATTTTAAAAAATTTAAGTTTCAATACACATAAAACTCATAAAACTGCATAAGTATGCTAAACAGATTACCTGATATTATTGCTTGAGGTGTTAATGTATAGACAAAAAAATAAAGAAATAAAGTGATGTGCAAAATAAGATATGCAATCTTTAAGTTTTTCATTAAATTACATCATTACCTGATGGTACTGCAGATGATATTGATGCTACTGTAAAAGTAAAAAAAAAAAAAAAAGTGTATAAAGTATCATATGTTAAACATTTATGTAATTGATAACAAACATAAAAAAAGTAATGTTTAATTTCAATACACATAAAACCCATAAAACTGCATAAGTATGCAAAACACATTACCTGATGTTACTGCAGATAATATTGATGCTATTGTAAAAGTAAAAAAAAAAAAAAGTGTATAAAGTAACATATGTTAAACATTTATGTAATTGCATGAAAACAGTAATGATTAAGTTTAAATACACATAAAACCCATAAGTATGCTAAACAGATTACCTGATATTATTGCTTGAGGTGCTAATGTAGAGACAAAAAAACAAATAAATAAAGTAATCTGTAATTAACATATGCTATCTTTAAGTTTTAACACACATAACACTCTTAAAACTGCATAAGAATGCAAAACACATTACCTGATGGTACTGCAGATGACGCTATAGTGGAGGTAAAAAATATATTTACATAAACTAATCAGTTAAACAGTTTATTTTAGAGTGATAAAACCGCACACAAACATCAAAAAATTGTGTGTTAAAATTAAACAAAAAGAAACATAAGTCTACTTTGCTTACCAATTGAATTTTCTAAATTTTCTAAATAGAATAAAAAAAAACTCATTAACATTAGGAAAGAAACAAACAATGTTAGTTACTTTCCTAATGTTAATGAGTTTTTGACAAATATAAATAATAAAGTTGACAAATATTCTGCATGTTAAACATGCAGAATATTTGTCAACTTTAGGAAATCTATAAATAAAGTTGGAACAAAACAAAAGGCAAAAATAACAATCACAAAACAAAACAAACCAAAAAAGAAAAAAGCGACAAAAAAAAATAAAAAATAAAAATAAAGAAACAATCCACAAGAACAATATAGTAACTTACTAAGTTGTTGAAATATAAGCCCTATAAAAAAAAATGCTAAAATTTGTATCAAAAAAGCTAAAAGACCATAGAATACACCTTTTTTTTTTAAAGTAAAATGCTATATCTTTATCTATAATACACAAATGTAATATAATCAAATTCTGTTTACCCATTGAATGTTCTAATTTTTCTAAATAAAATGAAAAACTTATAAACATTAAAATAAACTAACTTGCCAAATATAGAATAACTTTATGTTAAATAAAATGTAATAAAAAAAATAAAGAGCATGACAACAACAATAACAAATTGCTTACTTAGATTCTCAACAGAATCTTCTAATTTTTCTAAATAAAGTAAATTTAAAAGTTACAAAAGTCACTTGTTGACTGACTAACTGTCACAACTGACAAAAGTCAGTTGCTAAATAACTTTAAAAAAACTAAAAAAGCATAAATGTATTTGCTCACAAAAAACACAAAAAACAACAACAAAATTCCTCACTTAGCTTGTCCATTATTTCCGCTAAACATTAAAAAAAAGTTATAATTAACCAATTGCTGAAATTGGTGAAATATATATCTTTGTAACATATCCTTCTCATACAAAATTAGCTTACTTGGCAAGAGCTCTTCGGCTCTGATCTCTTGAACATCTAATATATATATAGACAAAATTAATTTTCAAAATATTTACTTTTTTAATTAAACATATAAGATTTGTCTTAAATTATAAAACTGTTGCACAGTTTTATAATTTAACACATTCAGTAAATGACAAAAAGTTTCATTTTACGTAAAAGTTTAGTAGTTAGAAGACTTAAAAGTCAATTTTAGCTTAAACACGTTTTATAAAATTATAACTTAAACACCTTAAATAAAGCTTATACTCGTTTTAAAGGTTCACTGCTTTACAAAAACATCAATCAAAATGGCGGAATAAACAAACTTTGGGTCCACCCTTTTAAAGTTCTAAAAATTAATTTATATATTTTTTAATTTTAGTTAAATTTTAGGGGGGTGTACTTGATTCACGGGGTTAGGGTAGGGCGGCATATCTTGGTTGATTTTAATTGAAAACGGCTAAATTAAATCATCGTTTTATTCACACCGTAAATCAAGTACAGTTCCGCCACTTTAAGAACATTTGTAACTGCTACTATATATAGTATATATAAATGGCTTACTTCGAAAAAATGCAGAAACTTCTTCGTCGCCTAAAGATATACAAAATTATCTCAATGTAATTTCTTAATAAAATAATAAGCTAAATATCTCAGTATTATTGACGTATCATCTCTTTTTATCTCTTTAATTAATTAATGTTATACAAAACTAAAAGAATACCTTTGGTATCTTGGCTGCTCATTTCTAAAAAATAATCCTAATGTTTATTCTTGGGTCAAAAACATATTAACTTCAAACATATTAACATGGTAATTATAAAATAAGTTTAATTTTTTAAATGAAGATTACAATAATTAAACTTGTAGTTACAACTTACTTGTCGTCCCTCGCTTTGCAATTGTTATAATCGATATGAAGACCACATGGCCGAGTTTTATTGGTTTTAGAGTACAGTTGGCGCACATATCATAATACAAAAATCAGATGGTTTTGAATCTATTAATTAAGCTGTTTTTATTAACGGATTTGGTGGATTTAATTAGATAACCGCAAAGTAGTTTTACAGTGGTTTAAGAGTTGGCGTACGTTTCGTAATACAAAAATCATTTAATATTTGTTTATATCTTAATATTCGAGCATTTCTATTAGCGGATTAGGCGCAATTTTGAAGGTTTTCTGTTTGTCACCTTCTGGAGTAACTAAATTTTTTTTTTTAGGTTTCAGATTACAATTTCTTTTTTCATATCTTTCCGTACTTTTTAGGACTCTTGACCAGTTAGTTTTAATAAAAATTTCAGATTGCATGTAAAACTTTTTTTTATATATATAAGAAAGAAATTTATCTCTTTAATGAGTGTTGAACTCGCAGTTTTAACAAATTACCTAAAACATAAGTATCTCTATCATGATATATGCGCAACAAATTTCTAACAGCGTTTTTATGTTTTTAAAAATTTTTAAAAACGTTTTAAAAAATTGTATCCGTTTGGTTTGTTATAGTATATTATATCTTTATTTTCATGTAATGCGTATAACATCTATATGCATTTAAACTTGTTTTTCTTTGTTTTCTAGAAAACTGGATAGGTTTTTAAAAAAAAATTGTGTAAGCAAAAGGTTTTAAACCGAAGCGAAGCACTTCAGTCGCTGTGGAATGTTATATCATCTTTTTACACTATTTAATAAACAGAAAACTTATTAAACTTTAAAAAACAACATTTAATGCTTTAAAATAAAGAGATAATGTCGCAATGAAATTATTAAGTAAAAATAAATCGGTAGAATTTGATGTCATCTACTTTCTAATTATACTGATTGTTGAAGAACTTAAAGTTTACATATTTAGATATTTGAATAGGCTTTCGTTCACATTAATAAAATAGAAATCATTACGGATTGTGGTTCCGAAAAAAATAGTTAATACACTACCATCTATAATTATTGGAAGGGTCATATTTTTTAATATCAAAGATATCAAAGTTTGGCGAAAAAGTGAGAACAATGTCTACCTGAATTATATGCTATCTTCCTATTTATTCGGTTTACAAATAAAACTTCCCTGATTAGTTTATAGTTTATTTAAAACCCTGATTAGCTTTTAATTTATTTGCCTATTAATCACCCTTAGCAACAATAACCGCCAGAAATATATTCTTAGCATTCTACTTAACGACTTATCTAATTAGTCTATTTTGTCACTAAGTTTTTTCAACAAAAAAAATACACATGTATTAAATGTATATCAATTTATTTATCTATTTAATTTAATCTTTATATAATATATAATTTAATATATATAATTTAATTTAATTAATATAATTGAAATACTACTAATCAATTTACTGGTATTTTTTCTATAGCATTGTTAAAAATGGTCATATTCTGAAAGGTAAAGAAATTTATTGAAAAGAAACTTGCACAAAAGAAAAATAAAACTAAATAAAAGTTTTTCGTTTCAAAAAACGTTTTACGAAGAGTTTTTCCAAACAATTTTATTTTTAATTAGGTTTTTTTTGAATTACGTCATAAGCATATTAAGGCGTTTTGAAAAACAGTTGCTGCATATATTTATAGTAAAAAAGTTAATGTAGCAAAATAAACTTTTAATTGTCAAAAGAAAGTTTTAAAGTTTTATCTAGCTACAGGTTTTTTTTTTTTTTTGCCTCCACAGCAGCATCTTATGAAGTAGCAGGGCTGTCTTGTTAAGTTTTTTTTTTATTAAGTTTCAGACAACTTTTTTTTTAGACCATCCGCAGCTTATTAGGACTAATTACATTCGCACATTAATAACATAAGTGTCTCAATTATCATAGATACGCAACATACTTTTTCTCCTGGTGATGTTTTTTTTTTTTTTTAATGTTTTATGAAGTTTTAGCATTCTTAAAATCTTTTCTTTTGTGAGTGCATAATATCGTTACGTTACATATGTTTGTATATAATCTTTATAAAACTTCAAAAGTGTTTTGTATTTTAAAATAAAAAAATTAAAAAAAACAGCAGCCTTTGGTAGGAGTCGAACCTCTATTCCTTGTTCAGAAGTTCGCCGCCCTATCCACTCAAGCTACGCCGGCATATTATCAAGTGTAGATTTTATAAAAATGTAGTAATTTTTTTAAAGAAAAATATGTTAGATCAAAATTAAGGAGAGGTTGACGCAATGTATTTTTCAAGTAAAAATCAAACTGTAAAACGTGATAAATGTTTCAGTATGTTTTAACATATGCTTTAACATTACTTAGTTTAAAGTTTACGTTCTTTAGATATTTGTTCACGTTTTCTTATAGTGCTGCGACTCTTTCTTGCCAATACCTCGGTTGCAATGGCTGCCAAGGGTTTCGTGTCAAATACGCTCCAAGGGACACTACTACTACTATTAAGTTCGGCAATATTATATAGAAGATATTAAAAAAGTACTTTTTCTATGGAAAAAGTAACACATTATTTTAAAATTAGGATGATATATAATAAGAAATATTTAAAAAAACATTTATACATTTAAACAAGAAATCTCATCGCTGAATAAACAAATTGTTCTTTGGAATGTTTTATTATTGTTCATGCTTAGAGCGGCAATACTCCATGTTCATGACAAGTGTATTTCAATAAGTTCCATCACGAATTCAGAAAATGAAAAACTTCATAAAATAATCTTTTGCTACACATAATATTCACTTTGTCTCCATAGTACCAATGGTTCTCCCTTTTAGTAATTTTTTAATGATCTAAAAGCCTTTTTGTATGTCGTCTGTTACAAACAGATAAAGATTTTTTAAATCTGAAAAGAAGTTTTACAAATTTATATATGTATATATATATATATATATATATATATATATATATATATATATATATATATATATATATATATATATATATATATATATATATATACTAGCTAAGTTGACCCGTAAAAAAAAGGGTCTTTGTAAGTCTATTCCACACAAACCTTTTGCCTTATTTTCTTAATCTAGCTGTCCGTATCGGTAAATACAGGTCTTTTCTTCTACTTCTATATTTATCAATTCCACGCCAACCATTTCTTTACTTGTTCTTTATTTACTTCAATATTTTTTAGTAAACTGTGGAAAAAAATTCATTAAAAAAATTTGCTTCAAGAGCAAAAAAAAAATTTAACATACGCACTTTTTCCGCATGCGTATATAGCTTATTAAACTCCGTTTATTTATTTATTTTTTTTTTAATTTCTGAACTAAACTACTTCCTACTTTTAGACCAGCCATGGACCATGGTTTATGGTCGCATCCTAGTCATATTCAATAGTTTACTATATTTATTATTATTATTATATGCTTAGTTTTGAATAATAACGGTCTTTTATAGTTATCTTTGTATTAGACGGAAACGGTAATGCAATTCTTTAAAACGTTAGTCGCTTAAAGCGTCAAAAGTCATGCAAAAAAATAAATTATAAATTTTGTGGTTTAAAAGTTGAAGAATTAATAATATTATAACAAAAAGTTTGGTAATTTTTAAACGTTGTTATTTAGCTCTTACTTATGGTATTTATTTTGTTTTCATTTTACATTTTTAAAAAAATGTTGAAGCACCTAACTACATGCATAACTTTGATAGCTCACAAGTTAAGTGCGCAGTCATCAGAGTCGCTGTGCAAGGCTTCAAATCCGCGCCTAAAAAATCTTAATACATTTTTTTAATTTTTTTAATCTGGCTATATTTATAGCAAAAAATTAATAATAACAAAAAACCTTTTAATTACTTTTTTTTTCCCTGCCTTTACTGCAATACCATGTGGAGTAGCAGGACGGTTTTATCAAATATTTTCCTTATTAGGTTTTAGGACCTTTTTTTTAAGACTATCCGTAGCTTATTAGGAACAATTATGCGAGAACAGTATCAAAATCGTGACACACACGCAAAAAATTTTCGCCACGTTTATTGGTGTTTTAAGAAATCCAAAAAATTTATAAAATTAAAAAAAAAAAACGGTTAAAGTGTATAACATTTAACTTCACAAATATTTTGTAATTTAAAGAAAAAAATTGCTGGCGGTAAATTTGAACCACGACTATTAAGCTCAGAGGCTTAGCGCGCTAACCACTCGGCCATGCTGACACATCAAATATCGAAATTTTAAAAATAAATAAAAACTGTTTTTAACGGAATTGCTGTAGATCAAAAAATTAGGAGAGGTTGACGCAATGCAATTTTTAAGTCAAAGTCAAAGTATAAAACTTGAAAAATGTTTCAGTATGTTTTATCATTACTTAATTACGTACGTTAGATATTTGCAAACACGTTTTTTTCTAAAAAAAGTGTTGCGACTCTTTCTACTAACACTACTATTAAGTTTGGCATTATTATATAGAAGATAGATAGATTATAAAATAGTTTTTCACTTAAAAGGACAAACTCTATACCACATTAACCTTATCTCTATTTCTCCCTCTAATATTTTTTAGTGAACAATAGATTATGTGCTAGAAAAAAAAAAAAAAAAAATTCACATATGCACCTTTTCCGTATATTTATATTTAGAGCTTAACATGAAGAAGGTAAATCATTTAGTTCAAGACAACCTGCCCAAACCCAAATCCTCTGTTGATTTATGCACACTCACTGTCGCTAGGCGTGTAAAATAAGTAGCTAGGCAAGTCAAATAAATTAATTGATCTGTTTTTCTGCATAAAACAAAAACAGAAAATGTGAAGTACTTGATAAAAGGAACTGTAATATTGGATTTAGTTAATTCAATACAAAGTGATAGGAAACTGCAAAATAAGGTAGCAACGTGAAAATTATTCAAATACTAATTTACAACAATTTGTATTGCGTTTTATTAAAATAGCTTTATTAAATAGTATGAAGATTGATGATTCTTCTTCTTCGCCTTTAGAAAATGATTAACGATTTGAAAGACTTTTAAATTGATTATAAAAGCATTATCTAAAAATGAAATAAAATCATTATTAATAACACTGAACGCACATTTATTTGTTTTATGTTAATTCATTTAAAAAATGAAAAATACGAAACGAAATTTAGTAATATTAAATAAATATTAGACACTTACTTTGTGAGAGTGCTTTTGTAAAAGTCTCTAATATTTGGTTGGAAGGCTGGAAAAACTCTTTTTTTTTTTAAATTCAGTTTTATCAGCATCGCTAAAGATAAAAATTCTTACTGACACAAAAAAATTAGGCATTTTTTCTTAAAATATTTCTTGGCTTTTAGTGAATGATTAGGAGTAAGTTTCAGTAATGAAGCTACCCAATAATAGTTTTTAACAATAGACACCAACGTGAAGGTAAGCCAAGCTGTCTATTAACACAAAACATAACAACAATATTACAGGATGACAAACAATAACACCAGTAGTGTAGGCAGGATTTTTCTTGTTTCAGGTATATAGAATTATTTTTTGTTTGGAATTTGTTGTTTCAGATGTATAGAATATATAGTGTAGGCAGGATATTTGTTGTTTCAGATATATAGAATTATTTTTTGTTTGGAATTTGTTGTTTCAAATATATATAGAATATATAGTGTAGGCAGGGTTTTTGTTGTTTCAGATATATTTAGAAGCTGTTGAAGAGTTTAACTTCGTTATGTCTAAAAAAATTCAGGTTAGGAAAAACACTTTTTTTAAACATTTGTTCCTAAGCTTTAACAACATCAATTTTTTGCAAAGTTTTTTAATTCTATAAACGTGAATACACTTAAGTTTGGTTGAAAGTGCTATCTGAAGCATCAAAAGACCCTGCCAGTGCTACTGAATACACATAGCAAAAATGTTTGTACATAACACAAAATATTCAGATTATGTGTTTCCAGAATAATTAAAAAAGCTAGACAACACAACCTAGCTCAACACTTGCAACACCACTTGGCACTAAACGCTGCCAAGTAACACCACAATTTAGTAACACCGCTTGGCATTAAGTGCCAAGTAACATCATTAGTAACACCGCTTGGCTAGCAAGAATCACAATCTTGCACAACACGTTGCCAAGTAACACCACTTTTCACATGAAAACAACTTAATATAAAATTATATAAACTTAAGCACATAAATATAAATAAAGATAAATAAACGAATATCTTATTAATTTTTTGCTATACTAATCTAAATCGAACAAAAACAATTAAGTGCTATTTATTAGTTTAAACCTATGAAACTATGTGTATAGCGTCTAATAAAATTTGTGAACAAAAGATATAACTAAACTGGTTTGAAACAGAGAAAAAGCCAGAAGTATCTTGTAATAACATACTATATTGTAAGAAATAAAACAGTATTTTTTGAAACAAATAAAAAAAAATTTATTATTTTAAAAGTCATATTAATGGTAATATTAAAAAGCAAAATTAGTTACAAATTTTTAAATGACATGCCAACAATTGCAAACATGTTGCATCATATAGACCACATGTGGCTGACAACTGATTTTAAATACTATTTTATAATACATCTAAAGAGAATAATGTAAAGAGATTAATAGGTGTATAGTGCATATATTAGACATATTAAACAGATATCATAGAGAAAGGAAAACTTTAAAAACGTAAATTAATACAAAAACTTATAGACAAATTATTAAAAACTTTTATAACATAAGAGTTCTTTGTAAGTTTAGGATTTAAAAACAGAATTAAAAATCAAAAAAATAAAATAGTTAAAGTATATAAATTAAAATAATAAAAAAATGCGAAATTAAAAAAAACATTCTTTTAAAAAGTCAATTTTTTTTATAAATAAAAAAGAAGATAATTCTACCAGTAGTTTAAAAAAGCTACTGGTACAAATTAAAAGAGTTAAACCGCTTTCCAGCACCCCTCCTTCTACCAGTGGTGTCATATGGGGCTTGTCTCCTCCATCTAAATGAGGGATCATCTTCCCCATATTGACTCCACCGGTAAAAAGCTCTTGAAGATATTGGACCTGGGTGCTGGGAGCGATATTGCAGGAATTCTTGATGCGATGCTAAAAAAAAAAACAAAAAAAGAAATAAATTTGAATACAATACTGCACAAAACAACCAATAAAAATATTATTTAAAACTATTTAGACTTCAAAAAAAAAAAAGTTATGACAAAAAAAAATAAATAAATAAAGTAATGTAAAAATATAGATATGCAATGTTTAAATTTCATATATACCTACACAAATACACATAACACCCACAAAACTGCATAAGTATGCAAAACAGATTACCTGATGGTCCTGCAGATATTGTTGCTATTATAGAAATAAATAAAAAAATATATGAACTAACACATATATTAAACAGTTATGTAATTGCATACAAACATGAAAAAAGTAATGTTTAGGTTTCAATACACATAACACTGCATAAATACGGAAAAACTGCATAAGTATGGAAAACACAATACCTGGTGGTACTGCAGTTGATACTGTTGCTATTGCGAAAATAAATAAAAAGTATATAAACAAACACATATTTTAAACATTTATGTAATTGATAACAAATATGAAAAAAGTAATGTTTAATTTCAATACACATAAAACCCATAAAACTGCATAAGTATGCAAAACACATTACCTGATGGCACTGCAGATGATTTTGATGCTATTGTGAAAGTAAAAAAAAAAAAGTGTATAAAGTATTATATGTTAAACATTTATGAAATTGCATTAAAACATGAAAAAAAAAAAATTTAAGTTTCAATACACATAAAACTCATAAAACTGCATAAGTATGCTAAACAGATTACCTGATATTTTTGCTTGAGGTGTTAATGTATAGACAAAAAAATAAAGAAATAAAGTGATGTGCAAAATAAGATATGCAATCTTTAAGTTTTACATTAAATTACATCATTACCTGATGGTACTGCAGATGATATTGATGCTACTGTAAAAGTAAAAAAAAAAAAAAAAGTGTATAAAGTATCATATGTTAAACATTTATGTAATTGATAACAAACATAAAAAAAGTAATGTTTAATTTCAATACACATAAAACCCATAAAACTGCATAAGTATGCAAAACACATTACCTGATGTTACTGCAGATAATATTGATGCTATTGTAAAAGTAAAAAAAAAAAAAGTGTATAAAGTAACATATGTTAAACATTTATGTAATTGCATGAAAACAGTAATGCCTAAGTTTCAATACACATAAAACCCATAAAACTGCATAAGTATGCTAAACAGATTACCTGATATTATTGCTTGAGGTGCTAATTTAGAGACAAAAAAATAAATAAATAAAGTAATCTGTAAATTAAGATATGCTATCTTTAAGTTTTAACACGCATAACATTCTTAAAACTGCATAATAATGCAAAACACATTACCTGATGGTACTGCAGATGACGCTATAGTGGAGGTAAAAAATATATTTACATAAACTAACATATACTAATCAATTAAACAGTTTATTTTAGAGTGATAAAACCGCACACAAACATCAAAAAATTGTGTGTTAAAATTAAACAAAAAGAAACATAAGTCTACTTTGCTTACCAAATGAATTTTCTAAATTTTCTAAATAGAATAAAAAAAAACTCATTAACATTAGGAAAGAAACTAACATGCAGAATATTTGTCAACTTTAGGAAATCTATAAATAAAGTTGACACAAAACAAAAGGCAAAATCAACAATCACAAAACAAAACAAACCAAAAAAGAAAAAAGCGACAAAAAAAATAAAAAATAAAAATAAAGAAACAATCCAGAAGAACAATATAGTAACTTACTAAGTTGTTGAAATATAAGCCCTATAAAAAAAAATGCTAAAAATTGTATCAAAAAAGCTAAAAGACCATAGAATACACCTTTTTTTTTGAAAGTAAAATGCTATATCTTTATCTATAATACACAAATGTAATATAATCAAATTCTGTTTACCGATTGAATGTTCTAATTTTTCTAAATAAAATGAAAAACTTAAACATTAAAATAAACTAACTTGCCAATTATTGAATAACTTTATGTTAAATAAATATGTAATAAAAAAAATTAAGAGCATTACAACAACAATAACAAATTGCTTACTTAAATTCTCAACAGAATCTTCTAATTTTTTTAAATAAAATAAAACTTAAAAGTTACAAAAGTCACTTGCTGACTGACAAACTGTCACAATTGACAAAAGTCAGTTGCTAAATAACTTTAAAAAAACTAAAAAAGCATAAATGTATTTGCACACAAAAAAAAAACAAAAAACAACAACAAAATTCCTCACTTAGCTTGTCCATTACTTCCGCTAAACATTAAAAAACAGTTATAATTAAAAAATTGCTGAAATTGGTGAAATATATATCTTTGTAACATATCCTTCTCATACAAAATTAGCTTACTTGGCAAGAGCTCTTCGGCTCTGATCTCTTGAACATCTAATATATATATAGACAAAATTAATTTTCAAAATATTTACTTTTTCAATTAAACATATAAGATTTGTCTTAAATTATAAAACTGTTGCACAGTTTTATAATTTAACACATTCAGTAAATGACAAAAAGTTTCATTTTACGTAAAAGTTTAGTAGTTAGAAGACTTAAAAGTCAATTTTAGCTTAAACACGTTTTATAAAATTATAGCTTAAACACCTTAAATAAAGCTTATACTCGTTTTAAAGGTTCACTGCTTTACAAAAACATCAATCAAAATAGCGGAATAAACAAAAGCTGAGTTTTGGGTCCACCCTTTTAAAGTTCTAAAAATTAATTTATATATTTTTTAATTTTAGTTAAATTTTAGGGGGGGTGTACTTGATTCACGGGTTTAGGGGAGGGCGGCATATCTTGGTTGATTTTAATTAAAAACGGCTAAATTAAATGATCGTTTTATTCACACAGTAAATCAAGTACAGCTCCGCCAATTTTAGAACATATGTAGCTGCTACTATATATAATATATATATATGGCTTACTTCGAAAAAATGCAGAAACTTCTTCGTCGCCCAAAGATATACAAAATTATCTTAATGTATTTTCTTAATAAAATAATAAGCTAAATATCTCAGTATTATTGACGTATCATCTCTTTTTATCTCTTTAATTAATTAATGTTATACAAAATTAAAAGAATACCTTCTGTTTCTTGGCTGCTCATTTCTAAAAAATAATCCTAATGTTTATTGGGTCAAAAACATATTAACTTCAAACATATTAACATGGTAATTATAAAATAAGTTTAATTTTTTAAATGAAGATTACAATAATTAAACTTGTAGATACAACTTACTTGTCGTCCCTCGCTTTGCAACTGTTATAATCGATATGAAGACCACATGGCCGAGTTTTATTGGTTTTAGAGTACAGTTGGCGCACATATCATAATACAAAAATCAGATGGTTTTGAATCTATTAATTAAGCTGTTTTTATTAACGGATTTGGTGGATTTAATTAGATAACCCCAAGGTAGTTTTACAGTGGTTTAAGAGTTGGCGTACGTTTCGTAATACAAAAATCGTTTATATCTTAATATTCGAGCATTTCTATTAGCGGATTAGGCGAAATTTTGTGGGTTTTCTGTTTGTCACCTTCTGGAGTAACTAAATTTTTTTTTTTAAGTTACAGATTACAATTTTTTTTTTCATACCTTTCTGTGCTTTTTAGGACTCTTGACCAGTTAGTTTTAATAAAAATTTCAGATTGCATGTAAAACCTTTTTTTTATATATATAAGAAAGAAATTTATCTCTTTAATATGTGTTGAATTCGCAGTTTTAACTAATTACCTAAAACATAAGTATCTCTATCATGATATATGCGCAACATATTTCCAACAGCGTTTTTATGTTTTTAAAAATTTTAAAAAACGTTTTAAAAAATTCTCTCCGTTTGGTTTGTTATAGTATATTATATCTTTATTTTTATGTAATGCGTATAACATCTATATGCATTTAAACTTGTTTTTCTTTGTTTTCTAGAAAACTGGAAAGGATTTAAAAAAAAAAATTGTGTAAGCAAAAGGTTTTGAACCGAAGCGAAGCACTTCAATCGCTGTGGAATGCTATATCATCTTTTTACACTATTTAATAAACAGAAAACTTATTAAACTTTAAAAAACAACATTTAATGCTTTAAAATAAAGAGATATTGTCGCAATGAAATTATTAAGTAAAAATAAATCGGTAGTATTTGATGTCATCTACTTTATAATAATACTGATTGATAATTAAAGAACTTAAAGTTTACATATTTAGATATTTGAATAGATTTTCATTCAGATTGATAAAATACAAATCATAACGGATTGTGGTTCTGAAAAAAAAAAAAAAAGGTTAATGCACTACCATCTATAATTATTGGAAAGGTCATATTTTTTAATATCAAAGATATCAAAGTTTGTCAAAAAAGTGAAAACAATGTCTACCTGAATTACATGTTATCTTCCTATTTATTAGCTTTTAATTTATTTGTCTATTAATCAGCCTTAATAACAATAACCGCCATAAATATATTCTTAGCATTCTACTTAACGACTTATCTAATTAGTCTATTTTGTCACTAAGTATAAAAAAAAAAAATACCCATGTATTAACTGAATATCAATTTATTTATTTATTTAATTTAATATATATAATATATAATTTAATATATATAATTTAATCTAATTAATATAATTGAAATACTACTAATCAATTTCCTGATTTTTTTTCTATAGCATTGTTAAAAATGGTCATATTCTGAAAGGTAAAGAAATTTATTGAAAAGAAACTTGCACAAAAGAAAAAAAAAACTAAATAAAAGTTTTTCGTTTCAAAAAACGTTTTACAAAGAGTTTTTCCAAACAATTTTATTTTTAATTGGGTTTTTTTTGAATTACGTCATAAGCATATTAAGGCGTTTTGAAAAACAGTTGCTGCATATATTTATAGTAAAAAAGTTAATGTAGCAAAATAAACTTTTAATTGTCAAAAGAAAGTTTTAAAGTTTTATCTAGCTACAGGCTTTTTTTTTTTTACCTCCACAGCAGCATCTTATGAAGTAGCAGGGCTGTCTTGTTAAGTTTTTTTTTTATTAAGTTTCAGACAACTTTTTTTTCAGACCGTCCGCAGCTACATGATTGATATCCGCAGCTGCATGATTGATACATTACATGAGCACATTAATAACATGTGTCTCAATTATAATAGATACGCAACATATTTTTTCTCCTGGTTATGTTTTTTTTTTTTTTTTTAATGTTTTATGAAGTTTTAACATTCTTAAAATCTTTTCTTTTGTGAGTGCATAATATCGTTACGTTACATATGTTTGTATATAATCTTTATAAAACTTCGAAAGTATTTTGTATTATAAAATAATTAAAAAAATTAAAAAAAATAGCCGCCTTTAGTAGGAGTCGAACCTCTAGTTACTTGTTCAGAAGTTCCTTATCCACTCGAGCTACACCGGCATATCATTAAGTGTAGATTTTATAATAATCTA